AGGGGAAAGGAGTTATGTGATGATTATTCTTTGCTGATGTTTGCAGGCATTCTTGAAAGCATGGGAAAGTGTATGCCAAAGTACAAAGCCCCCCACCATGACTATTCCTGCAGGGAAAACCTTTCTCCTTAATCCAACTACGTTTAGAGGCCCGTGCAAGTCTCCTGCTATCAATATCCAGGTACATGAACAAACCCAGAGAGAGAGAGAGAGAGTATAAGGTCAGATTTAGAAAATATCCACTATTAGTTTTACTTTCCAAAAGTTTATGCCAAAGCATTAGAGTTGTTACGCATTTGCAGTTTATAGAAAGTTGTTGTTTGATACTCTATCTTTAAGACGTAAAATTTGCTAGAAGATCAGGTAATTGCCATATTATAAAGTTTTCAAAAAAGGAAAACTGCTCATAAATGAAATTTCGAAGTATTAATTCAAATATATTAGATCTACAACATGCTTTTTAATTTTTATATTAAAGACCATAAAATTTATTTAAGATACGTTATAATTTTTCATTTCAAAATTATAAAAATAAATAGCTGGTAAGGACCATAGAAGCATAGATTCCTAACCACAAAAGGATAGATAGGGTTGGGTCGTGGTGGTAGCATCCCTATACTTAGTTACCGTGTTGTGGTTTCTAATCCTATTTTTACAGCACATTGACACCTTAAAATAAGCTAACTCCATAAATATACATGAAAAAATAGGAAGGGGTTAGTCTTCCCTATTGAATTACCCAAAAAAAAAAATGTATTAAAAAGTAAAAATACTATCCAGTTTTGTTTTGAGAATATGTGGTTTTGATAAGGTGGCAATCCTATCTAGTTTTGTTGGATGGTGTTGATTGGGCATATCATTTCATGACCCGTCTTTCAAGACATTATAATATCTAAACCGTCAAAATAAATATAAGATCTAAACCGTCAAAATAAATAAGACAGCATAGATTAGTGCAACCTTACTTAAATCTTTTCCTTTATTTTGTCCCGATAAGTAAGAATCCATTTAGCTGCACATGGTAAAACAACGTTTAAAAGCCACCTGTCATACATACTCCTTGGGAATATCGTATAGGTACAGTATAGATACGGTTATTGATATAAATATAGATAGGATAAAAATTGACCTTCAAATTTCTCGACACTATTTGAAGTTGGGCTCTAATTTGATTGTTTAGAGCCTCGACTCTCTACAAACCGCACCTTTTTCTATATTCTATTGCGATTTATCACATGAAAATTGCCACTCATTCTTTTTCTTGTATTTTCTGCATTAAACTGATTAGGGAAACTAAATAATGCTCTCTCTCTCTATCTATAAACAAATGCTGCGTTCATTTCTTCATGCCAAAACTGAGCATTTTTTTTGTCTCCCATGTCCTTGGGGTATCTCTTTCTATCGTCTTCGATGCTTAATCTCTCACTTCCAATATTTCCTCTGTAAATACCCCAAATTATTACCTTCTCCAATATTTTCCTAGACGAGGAAAAATCAAACGTAGGATTTTCTAAGATCAAAATCTTGTCCTTTTTTTTTCTTTGAAAGAAAAATAATCATAAGTTGAATCAAAGATGGTCCCATAGGACAAAATGCCTAATTTAGTTAAACAGGATCTCAATACACGGGCTGTTTTCAGGGTGAGGCCCTAAACAATCAAATTAAAGCGTATCTTAAAAATTCACTACAAGGGATTGTTTCGATGTGAAAAACTCTCAACTCGATCATGTCGATCTCAAGATATATAGACATGAGAAAACATAGATTTCAAGTCTTGGAAACTATGCATCTTATAATGTGCTCGATCTACATTATTTTTGAATCGTTAAAATTTCTAATTAAAAATAAGAATACATTTTCAGGCCATCATAAATATTTTTAAAACTAAAATAACATATTTCAGTACCATTTGAAGGTGTGCCTTACTTTGATTATTTATGGCCTCGGCCTTATACAAACCACACCCTTTTCTAAATTATTAATTAAATGGAGCGAGTGAGGAAAATAAGAGAGACTTAAGAGTTTATATGCCTATTAGAGAAAGAGAGAAGGAAAAATTTAAACATGTGTTGGGAGTGGGGGCGGGGAATTGGTGGTTATGGGGGCAGGTTCCCCAGCATAATGTTTTAGTCTCTATTCTCTCGGTTAACACTTTCCACAATCACGACAAGCATTGTGCACTTACACATCATACGATTTGTATTATTTCCCCCAAAGCACGCACACACCAAGTACATAAATGCATTTAGTACGCAGTCTTGTTTGCGCAGAAAAAAAAAAAAATTTGAAACTTGTTTGTTGTAGGTTTCAGGGAATATATTAGCTCCAAGTTCAATCTCCTCATGGGGCAATGACAAGGAACATTGGATCCATTTCAAGTGTGTGGATGGCCTCAGCATTCAAGGAAGTGGGACAATAGATGGTCAAGGACATGCATGGTGGCCCATCAAGAGTGCTCAAGAGACCCATGTAATTTCACTAACACCCTAATTATACAATTCATCATCACACACATGTGAAACTCAAGATTCTTGCATCAATAAATCACATCCAGCAATTTTGTCTTCCCTTCTTTTGTACACATAAAGAGTCATAACCAGGTGCTGGTCACGCCTAAGTAGGGTCTCGGGAGGGGTGGGTTGGAAACGGGCCTAACTTTTGGCTTAAACACAAAGTGGCTTCTCTTAGGACTCGAACTTACGCTCTTATGTTGGCTACCCACCCAAGCCTTTTACTGTCGTACCAAGTGACGGCCATTACTTCTTTGGCACACATGTGTTAGCACTATCCTATGGGCAAACTTTCTATGCTTCCTCTACAGCATAGCAGTTCTATCCTTCCCCTTATGCAACCCTCCATTCTAAATGGAGGGCTAAGATTGCCCCAATCATAATGTCGTGTCTCTACACTATTTTATTTTTAATTTTTTTTTTCATAAACTATTTTGACACAAAATATTGAAAATTCCTCTATTAAACTTGCACTACAGAAAAATATAAAAAAAATATTTTCAATGAAATAAAATGACCAAAATACCTCTGATATTTTCAAGGGGTCTTTTGAGCATTACATTTTATCGAAAAATTATTTTTAATATTTTTTATAGGTGCGCCCCCAGGAGAAGATGACACGTACCAAATTTCATATTCATACAATTTGTATAAAAAAAACTAAATATAAAATACTTTGAGATGTCGGATCTAATATCAAACGGTGAGTGGCTCTCTTGATCAAAATTGGACGGCTGCATGATAGGGAAAGGATAGAACTTCTATATTATAGGAGAAACATAGAAACCTTTTCCTTATCCTATTGCTGATAGAGTTTATTTAGGGCAGGTTTGGTACCTTGGAAATCTCTCTCTCCACATATTTCTACTTAGGCCATGTCCATGTTTGGTTAGTGGGACATCCGTAAATCTTTATGGTGCACCACCGCTATACAAAATTTGGGAAATCTCGGCTCTTTCATGGGAAAGTGGCTTCATACTCCAGGAGCTGTGAAGCTAATTTCTCGGCATTCTCTCTTGTTGAGGGAGATTTCCAATGGAAAAAACTACCCCTTGTTGTGCTGCGATTTTGGTTTCAAATGGTTTGCTAGAAGGAATGCCTTTCCTATTTTTTGATCAACCATTTGAAACCGAATTTTCTAGCATGGAATAATTGCTCTTTTGAATATGCACAATAGTATCATCATGTTATTGTAATTGTTTTTGTTATTATATAAGTAGAATCGTAGTTTCAAATGGGTACGAAACCACGATCATCAAGGAAGATCTGGGGAAAAATCAATTACATATTTTATTTTTATTTTTAGTATAAGAAATGATGGTTTCACCACTTGCAATTAAATTGACTGTTTAAATTTTTAAAGTTGCCATCTATTATGAGTTTCTCTTGATAACAATACTATTATTATTCTTCTGTTTAGCATTGAGTACCATGTTTCTTATCTCATTTGTGGTCTCTCTCTTTCTCTGCAGGATAGTTTCAAGACGGTACCCACGGTAAGTGGTGTCTCTTTTTCTCTGCAGGATGATTTCGGGACGGCACCCACGGTTAGTGTCTCTCTTTATTACTTTTCAAACGATAACACGATTCCGGAACATTGCATAAACCATTCGAGCGATCCATAATTTTGGATTCTCAGACTAGAGTTTTGAAGGACCGAGTTTTCGGGTATCAGCCTTTTCTAATTGGTATTGTAAAAATTTACAAGCATAATGATACTTGATAATCACATATAAAGGGAGTGGTTTTATTCTTAAGCAGCATAAGTGGGTTTGTAACTAGAACATAATTTATAACTGGGTTTGTAACTAGAGCATAATTTATAAATGGAAAATTGTTTCATGCGGGCTGGACCTCATTTCTATATATGCGATCCAGAACGTGTAAAGCATACGTCTTAAAGATGGATGCAAGTAGGTTTTCCATCTAAGAATAATGGAAAATAACGGCCCGAATGTTTTCTTACTAAAATTATTATTTTTAGTTTTAAAATTTATTTATTCTTTCATATTCACGATCTTCATGTTAGAGATATCATGTCCTTAAAAATTAAGTCTTAAAATCTATCTCAAAAATAGATTTATTAAGAGGCCGCATTTCTACATATTCGGGCTTGGCCGCATAGAGACTGGGTTCTTTATAAATTTATGCAACAAGCACTTTCTAGGTTCGAGTTGTATTGAAATGAAAAGTTTTAGGACACTATAACATATCATGTTGGTGTCCCTCTTGGTACTTTTATTTTTGGCTTGTTTTCTAAATTACTATTAAATATTAATATGATACATGTATTAAGATACATTGTGAAAATTATCTGAGCAAACTAATATGGCTTTGTGCAGGCATTGAGCTTCGATGTGTGCACCAATCTAAAACTGAGGGATTTGCACATTGTTAATAGCCAGCAAAGACATATCGCAATACATAATTCTAATACTGTTTACATAGGGGGTCTCCATATTAATTCTCCAGAAGATAGCCCCAACTCTGATGGCATACATATCCAAAGCTCGCAACATGTCAATGTCGAGAACAGTTTCATTGCCACTGGTATCACTCGCTCTCATAGAAACAGAAAAATTAAAAAAGAACAGAAGTTTTTGTTTTGGTGACACTTTGATTGTCGTTTTTTTTTTTTAGTTCATGTCATTCAATGAACTTTGTTTCCTTCCATTGCTTCGATTCATTGTTCAAAATCGGTGCATTAGTTACTATCAGTGTCCTAAGAAGCGCTTTGGGCTAGGACCGCACAACTAGCCCGGGGTGAGTTATTCGAGCGTGGACTCGCCCGAGTTCTTTACTAGCTAAAGCATTTAAAGAAAGAGCTGGTGGAGAGAGTGTTGTAGGCCATTTAATGAGTTATGTGGCCTCGGAGGGAGAGAAAAATTGGCCTTTGTGTACCTGCATCCCCACGATGGGGGCAAGATTTATGGCCCGTACAAGCTAGCCCATTACCATGGCCTCAACTTGCTAGCGCACATGGGTAACTACATCATCAAGCCTTTCTAAAATAATTACGATCCTCATGCTTATTATGGAAACCTATGTGGTGATAATGTGTACAATATCCTACCATATTTGGGTAATTTTTGTTATATAACACCCATGTAGTTATACATAAGGGGTTGTAACAGTCATACATAATAGTTGGAATTCTTATGCTTGTTGACCTATTTGTATTGTCACTCCTACAGGGATTTGTATATATATAGGAAAAATCACCCCGTGATTTGCTTAGAGTGAGAAAGATATGTACATTTTCTTTATCTAGTGCTTGGATATTGCTTTCTCTCTCTTCGCTCTCACTCTTAACATGATATCAGATCAGGGCTTGACACCCTAGGATATCTATTTTACTTCTGGTGACCCTAGAACGATGACTTTTCTTCCTTCTTGTAATTAAAGCCGTAGATATCAACATCCTTGTATTTCTAGAAAGATCATCTCACTTTTCTTTACCAATAAGTCCCAAACACCTTCCTTTTAGTAGCAACCTCATATTTCTAGCAACATCATATTTCCTGCAACCTTATATTTTTAGTAACTTTATATTTCCAGCAACCTCACTTTTGGAACTAAAGAATTAGTACCTTGGAAAAAAGACTTATGGTTTCTAGTTTGAGAAAGAACGAAATTGTCAGAAATTGAGAACAGTTTTTCCTTGCAAGTAGTCAATTTGTACCACCTAGGATTGATGATCCCTACATGTAAACTAGATGAGACAAACTATTTAGAATGGTCCCAATCTACGAAAGTGTTCAAAGGAAGCCAGAGAAAATTGGGTTAAAAGCATAGGAAAAATGAAAGAGCTGCCCAGCAAATGATCCAACCCATGATGAATGGGAAAGTGAGAATCTGACAGAAATGTCATGATTCATTTATTCCATGTTGCCAAATATTGGTAGAGGGCTATTGATTCTTAAGACTGCAAAGGATATATGGAAGGTAGTAGCTAATACATACTCGCAACGAGATGATATGGTAAGGACTTATTAATGACATGGTAAACTAATAATGACTTTGGAACAAGAGGAAATGACTGTGGAAGAGTACTTTGGGATACTGTTAGGATTGAGATTAAAGAGAGAGATAAAGAGTAATATTCTAGCATAAGATGAAGTAAATACATATACTTTTCACACTCTACAAATCGTAGGGCAATGTGCCCTATATATTTACATATTTCTATTGGGGTTACAATACTGGTAGGTCAACATGCAAAAGAATTATAACCATAGTAGAAGTTACAAAACCTATTATAGGAGGTTCTAATGGGCGTGAGGCCCATTATTCATAGGAGTTTCATGTTTTAATGGGTATGAGCACATAGTATCATAATAACCACTACATGTGGCTCCATTATGCATACGAGTTAAAACCTTTACACATGTTGTAATGGCAATGAGACAATATCAATTGCTTCACTCCCCCCCCGTAAAGCTGGAATATATCTATCATAGATGCCCAACTTATCCAAAGTGTCCTTTAGTTGAACTCGATTACAGGCCATGGTAAATGTGTATGTCAATTGATATTTAGAGTGAACACATGGTGGACATATTATCTTTGAAGTGACCATTTATCTGACAAAGTGGCAGTCAACCTCAATATGTTTGGTTCTTTCATAAAATACAAGATTTGTGGCAATACAAATTGCCACTTGATTATCACAATGTAAAGGAGTAGCAGTTGATACATTACCACGCATCTGTTGAAGAAAAGAATAGAGCAAAATTGTTTCACATGTAGAACTTGTCATTGTTCAATATTCAGCTTATGTTGAATATCGAGTTACAACACTTTGCTTCTTACTCTTCTAGGTGACTAAATTACCACCCATTGTTATAAAGTAGCCATTGGTAGATTGTTGATCAAGAGAACACTCGACTCAATCCGCATTGCGAAAACCTTGCATATCAAGATGACCATGATTGACATAAAGTAACCCTCTCCCTGGAGCAGATTTTAAATATTGTAATAAATAGCCTCCGAGTGATGGGAGCTTGGTGCATGCATAAATTAACTTGCCATGCTTAAAACATATGAAATGTAAATAAATAAATCTACCCACTAGTCTATGATATACACCAAAGTTACTGAGAGGCTCTGACTATTGATCATACAATTTGTGATTAACTTTTATAGGAGATTTTTTTGGTTTCTCTCCAGGCATTCCTCTGCCATTGGGGAGATCAACGGTACACTTCCTTTGACACAAAAAAATTCCTCATTTAAACTTAGCCACATCTACGCCAAAGAAGTATTTCAATGGACCAAGATCCTTGATGTAAAAAATACCCCCTAAGAACTTTTTCACTTTCAAATTTCGTGTGATCATATACTATCAATATTATGTAGAGCCAGATTCTCTTTTTAACATATACAAAATGATTATAAACAATCGTTTGAAGTCCAAATTGACATATTGCCATACTAAAGTTTCCAAACCAAGACCCAGGTGATTGTTTCAATCATATATAGCTTTCCTCAACTTGCAATCCTTCCCTTTCCCCCTTTGAGGATAAAACCCAGGTGGTAACTCATATATACTTCCTCTTGTAGATCTCCATGGAGAAAAATATTATTCACGTTAAGTTGGTGTAGTGGCCATTTCTTAATTGTGGAAATAGGTGATCTGCACTGATCTCAAATTTGCCATAGGAGAAAAAGTCTCCTTATAATCAACCCTACATAACCATGTAAACCCCTGGCAATCAAACAAGCTTTGAATTTCTTAGTCGAGCCATCTGGTTTGTGCGATAGGGTGTACAACCATATGCATCCTACCTCATGTCCTGTTGGCCGATCAATTACATCCCAAGTTTGTTACTTCTCTAAGGAAATCATTTTCCCAACCAAGACTGCTTTCCGTTGTACATGAGCCAATGCATCTGCAATTTCAGTGGGAATAGAAACATATGAAGTAGAGCAAAGGTATGCATGCAAAGAAGTTGAAAGTGAAGCATAAGAAACAAACATACTGATCAATTGAGAAGTACAAGCCCTTTTTTCCTTTCTTACGTAAATAAATAAATTGAATTCATAAGATATAATAAGGGCAGGGGGATAAGAAGTACCTGACGAGTCAACGAGTTGGGATTGATCTTTATGTTAGACTTTCCATTGTTCTTTTTTTTGGGTGTTCAACTATTTGTTAGTAGATTCCATAAGTTCAATGGTTGTTTTACTAGAACTATCTGTGATCATTGTAAGAGGGATATGATTTTTGGGTGGCATATTGGATATCAAATTTCTTTGGATAGAAAAATTGGATATATTATCAAAGGATGTAACATCTTTTGAAATATATTTCGTTTTAGTTTTGAACAACACCAATTGTATCCTTTATGAGAGTTTGAGTATCCCAAAAACATGCATCTGGTAGGTTGAGGTACGAATTTAATCCTAGCCGGCCCTAGTGTGAGCACAAAGCAAACATAACAAACAACAATTCGTAGATGAGAAAACAAACAAATTGTTTGGTGGAGAAGTTTTAAAGAATAAGTGCCATCAAGAACATGTGTAGGCATTCTATTGATCATACATGCAATGGTAAGAACTGCGTCGTCCCAATATGTCTTAGGAACCTCCATTATTAGTACTTCTAACAAGTGTCTATTTTGTCGTAGATCATAGGTTAGTGGGTAGACTTATTTATTTGATAGTTATACACCCAAACATTGCATATGCTATAAAGTTGGCAAGTCAGTTTATTCAAGCACAAGGCTCCCATCACTTGGAGGTTGCTTACCACAGTTTAAAATATTTGAAAACTGCCCAAGGAGAGGGCTTCTTTACACCAGTCACTGTCACCTTGATTTATAAGGATTCTACGATGCAGATTGGGCTGGGTGTTCTCTTGATCGACAATCTACAAATGGCTACTTATGTCAGTGGATGGGAATTTTTTAGTCACTTAAAAGAGTAAGAAGCTAAGTGTTGTAGCTTGATCTTCAGCAGACGCTGAGTAGCAAGCAATGACATATGCCACATATTAAATAATTTGGCTCCATTCTCTTATTCAAGAGATGAGTGTTAATGTATCAACTCTTATTCCTCTACAATGTGATAATTAAGGGGCAGTTTTTATTGCTTGAAATCCTCTATGTCGTGAAACAACTAAGTATATTAAAGGCAAACTCTCACATCGTCGGAGAAAGGGTCTCTTCATACACATTATGTACTCCATTTGATTGATATGAGAATCAATTAGTAGCCTTACAAAGGATCTAATTGCGATTGACTAAGGGATAGTTGGGACAAGCTGGGCATTTATGATATATATGCTACCTTGAGGGGGAATGTAGCTACCGTTATGAGACCCATACCAATTAAAGAAATCTACAATAATTACTGGCATGATGCTCATTCTAAAAACCTATATGTGGTGATAATGTGTACAATATTCTACCATTGTTGGCTGATTTTTCTTGCTATAACAATAATGCATAATAAGCTGCAACAACCATGTAACAATCATGCATAACGTTGTAACTCCTATGCATATTGACCTACCCGTATGGTAACGCATATAGGGATCTGTGTACATAGGGCCCATTGCCCTATGATTTGTATAGATTGAAAACGACATCTGTATTTTCTTTATCTTGTGCTTGAATATTCCTTTCTCTCTCTTCTCTCACAATCCAAATAATGGTGAATCTATTTAGAAAGTGTCTTTCATCAAATCACTACACATTGCATTTAAATGAAAAATCAAGTTTTCTCGAGTTTTGTAGAAATTGAAGAGAACTTGAACACTTGGCAATTGCCATGGAATTGTTCTGTTCCTAATGTTTCCATCTAAAAGTTCGAGATAAGTTCACATTAAAAAAGGATCAGAGAGGTGTTCACACGTGAGTTCGTAAAATGGGAAACCAACTAAGACCTTACACCTACAAGGTATCTTTATTTTTGAGGGGGACCTACAAGGTATTTTCTTGAAAAAATAGTCAACTTATCCTTTACTACCATATGCATTTCTTTTGCTGGATGAGTTTCACCAAGTGTAACATGGAGAATACTATTATACATGTTGTGCAACGGTGTGAGAGTTATTTCATGTAGGGGGACATCTAGATTGGCATTTGAACTAAATTTACGAGATCAGTAGGTCTGCCATGTTTTAGATATGAAGTAAAATGTTCATTATCTTCTTGAGTTCTGATATGTTGTGTGAGATCAGGATTTGGATGATTTCCCTTCAAATTTATATATACTCCTCGAGAAAGGGAAAATGAATTTCTTGACATTCCTATCCGTTTTACTCTGTTATATTCATGGCAATTTCTTTGTAGGTGACGATTGCATTTCCATTGGTGATGGCACGTATGATGTAAATGCATCCAAAATCACTTGTGGCCCGGGTCACGGCATCAGGTAGTTCTCCCATTTCAATATAACACCGCTTCGACTACATATAGGTTTTGGGCTCCTGCACTGTGCTCTGTGGTTAGGGTTTCAAAATCACAATTAGAACTACGGCTTCAATTGCACCCGTAGTCCAAGCTACCATGCCATTGTTGTGTTGTGCTCGAATAAGAAAATTAGTTAGGAGCCTCCCCAGTGCAACATGTTTCTCTTTCCATTTAAAAATCGGCGTGATTCTTTTATGCAGCGTCGGAAGTCTCGGTAAAGATGGGAGTCGTTCAACTGCAGAAATGATACATGTTAAGGATTCTTTCTTTATTGGAACTAAAAATGGGGCTCGGATTAAGACATGGCAGGTAACTCATGCTTTGCTACTCTTAAACGTTATGATTAGGGAGTGGTAGGTTTAGTTTGGTAAATTTCGTTTAGTATTATTACTTTATTGGTAGTTCAGAATGGGATCCTCTACCAGTAAAACTAAAGAAAGCCACAACATTTGTTCACTGTTAGTTAGCTGATTGTCCACCACTTTCAGAAATCCACCATCATCTCTCATAAACCCACACTTTTCTCGACAATTAGTGTTACAGAACTCACCTTAGCCAAGAACTCAAGAAAGTACAATTACACAGGTCATTTGGTGAGATACCTTTGTTTTGGCTGAGATCATCTTTAGGAATGATTTTGCTTCTTTTTACTAATTTGCTAATTTTCCTCAGTCTATTGTCCTAAAGACTCCATATTACCAAAATTTGATCAAAATTTGCCCTTATGGTATTTGAGATTCATAAATCTATTTCAAGGTTTTCGTTTTTAATGGCTTTCATTTAATTCCCTTTGAGTACCCCACAATTCTGCTTCTTGGATTAGCAAAAACATGAGGGCAAACATTCACATTTTTTTTGAATTTTTCATGCCTTGTTCACAAATTTCTCTAGAATTTTAATTGTGTTGAGTCTTTGTCCATCTACTCTTTCTCTAACCATTCAGGTTTCATGGCGTTGTGGACAACGAGATTCTCACATTGTTTTCTCTAGAAAAATTTCATCTCTCTCATTGTTTACAAATTATTTTCTTTCATTTTATTTGATGTTGCGAAGATTTGAAGTTCTGTCGATTGAGACAATCTATATATTGTTATGATTATGACCGAGATTTGTGTATAGTTGGGAAAAGACTGTGATGATGATAGTGATTATGATATTGCTATGAATATGCGTGTTTGAGTATATTGTATGGATTGTTTTGGTAGTTTCAGATCACATATATTTATAATTTCGGATGTGTCCTTGGGTACTTTAGCACCTGTGAATGCATGAAAAACTTCTTTGGTAAAATGAATGTGCGTGATAATTTATCTCTACAATGTGGAGCACTTTTCCTAAGGAAAATCATTGCCATATTTGTGGCATTCTTGTTAGTTTCTTTTCATATATTTGTACAATCATGCTTAGAAACTAATAACGCATGCAAACTTTCATAGGGCGGTTCTGGATTTGCCAGAAACATTATATTCGAAAATCTGATCTTCACAGATGTGGAAAACCCCATCATCATTGACCAGTATTACTGTCCAAACAAAGGTTGCAAGAATCAAGTATGCCTCGTTCTCTCTCTTCTATATCAAAATAGTATTTTTCTTTCTTTATGACATCATAATTTAGCTAATAGAAATGGAGAAGTTTTACATGTGGCACCACTCACAAATAAAACATATGAAACAACTATGCTCAAACGTTTGATTTTGAATGGATAGTTGAGCTAACTTCAAGCATCGGGGCTGACAATCAGCTAAGTAGTCAGCCCAATGTTGATTTTATAGGAGATTTTGTCGGTTTCTCTCCAAGCATTCCTTTGCCATTGGGGAGATCAAGGGTACACTTCCTTTGAGACAAAAAAATTCCTCATTTAAACTTAGCCACATCTACGCCAAAGAAGTGTTTCAATGGACCAAGATCCTTGATGTAAAAAATACCCCCTAAGAACTTTTTTGCTTTTCACATTTCGTGATCAATATTTCTTGTGAGCACAATATTAACCACATATACTATCAATATTATGGTACAGCCAGATTCTCTTTTTAACACATACAAAATGATTATAAACAATCGTTTGAAGTCCAAATTGACATATTGCATACTAAAGTTTTCAAACCAAGACCCAGGTGATTGTTGCAATCATATATAGCTTTCCTCAACTTGCAATCCTTCCCTTTCCCCCTTTGAGGATAAAACCCAGGTGGTAACTCATATACACTTCCTCTTGTAGATCTCCATGGAGAAAAATATTATTCACGTTAAGTTGGTGGAGTGGCCATTTCTTATTTGTGGCAATAGGTGAAAGTATCTGCACTGATTTCAAATTTGCCATAAGAGAAAAAGTCTCCTTATAATCAACCCTACATAACCATGTAAACCCTTGGCAATCAGACAAGCTTTGAATTTCTCAGTCGAGCCATCTGGTTTGTACGATAGGGTGTACAACCATATGCATCCTACCTCATGTCCCGTTGGCCGATCAATTACATCCCAAGTTTGTTACTTCTCTAAGGCAATCATTTCCCCAACCATGTTTGCTTTTCATTGTACATGAGCTAATGCATATGCAATTTCAGTGGGAATAGAAACATATGAAGTAGATCAAAGGTATGCATGCAAAGAAGTTGAAAGTGAAGCATAAGAAACAAACATACTGATCAATTGACAAGTACAAGCCTTTTTTTCCTTTCTTAAGGAAATAAATAAATTGAATTCATAAGATCTAATAAGGGCAGGAGGATAAGAAGTACTTGACGAGTCAACGAGTTGAGATTGATCTTTATGTTAGACTTTCCATTGTTCCTTTTTGTGGGTGTACATGTTCAGTTATTTCTTAGTAGATTCCATAAGTTCAATGGTTGTTTTACTAGAACTATCTATGATCATTGGAAGAGGGATATGATTTTTGGGTGGCATATTGGATATCAACATATTTTGGATAGAAAAATTGGATATATTCTCAAAGGATGTAACATCTTTTGAAATATATTTCATTTTAGTTTTGAACAACACCAATTGTATCCTTTCTGAGAGTTTGAGTATCCTAAAAACATGCATCTGGTAAGATTTAGTTTTTCTCTTTATTTGTTTGTAAAAAGATAGTCTGGCAGTTAGCCCCATTACTGAGGGGCCTTTTCATGAATAAAGATAATTTATTGTGTTAGTGCTTGATCGTTGGTTGGTTGGTTTGTTGCAAGGTTTTAAAAAGCACTGATTCGGATCCAAATCTCTCGATCTTTTAACACGTTTGATGTGGGACTAAACTTCCCCTAGTTTGTACCGTCTCAGCGCCTCTTTCAAGTTTTTTTCCTTTTTTTTTTTGAACATCTCATTCTTCAACCATGAAAACCTGAAAACCCAATTTAAGACTATAAAGCGATCTCTTGAGTAAGCAAACTTGATCTTCCTTTCCATGCACCATGAAGCCTTCAGGTTGTTCCATAAAGATTTGTTCCTTCAAATCACCATGAAAAGACGTTGTCTTCACGTCAAGTTGTTCTAGCTTCAAATCAAACATGGCTACTAAAACAAGTAATAGCCTTATTGAAGTGTGCTTGACAACCGGAGAGAATATTTCATTATAGTTCACTCCCTCCTTCTGAGCATAGCCCTTGCTACTAGCCTAGCTTTGAATCTCTCACATTCCTTTTCTGTTGCTGCCTCTTTCTTCCGAAAGATCCACTTGCACCCAAGCACTTTCCTTCCCTTGGGCCTCTTGACAAGCTCCCAAGGCTTGTTCTTTTTCAGAGACGTCATCTCCTCCATCATGGCTATCATCCATTTATCACATTGTGCATCACTTAGAGCATCTTTGATGGAGTCGATTTTCCCAGTACAAATAGTTAGAGCAAAAGCTACCATGTCCTAAAAGCCGTATCTCACAGGGGCTATGTGAACACGCTTAAACTGTAGGGTTCACCATGTGATTGTTGCCATTATGGTATGCTGCTAGATGATTTTTTCTCTTCTGGTGTTTCAGACTCTTCTAGCTCCACCTGGACTGTCGATCTTTCTCCTTCACTTTCATCTACTTGAACTTTTTCATCTTGGATGTAGATTGACTTCACCATGTGAGATTCATCAAACACAACATCCCTGCTAAGCACAACCTTATGTGAAATAGGATCCCAAAGCTTGGATCCCTTCACTCCCTTCTCAAAACCGAGAAAGATGCATTGCTTAGACTTAGAGTCTAATTTGGAACGTTTCCCACTTTGTACATAGACATGGGCTGGACATCCGAAGATACTCAGCATAGAGTAATCTATCGGCTTTCCTGTCCACATCTGCTCTAGAATTTTGCAATCAATCGCTGTAGTTGGTGACCTATTAGCGATGAAACATGCCAAGTTAACTGCTTCGGCCCAGAAATGTTTCGTCAAATCTGCATTCAATCTCATACTACGAGCTCTTTCCAAAAGAGTCCTGTTCATCCTCTCAGCCATACCAATTTGCTGAGGGGTTTCTGGTGTGGTAAAGTGACGTACAATCCCCTCTTCTTAACATAATTCTCTAGACTTGTACTCCCCAATATTATCTGATCTTAAGCATTTTAGTTTCTTTCCTGTCTTCCTTTCTACTTCTGCTTTCCATTGTTTAAACTTCATGAATGCTTCACTTTTGTGTTTCATGAAGTAGACCCAAACCTTTCTTGAGTAATCGTCGATGAAGGTAATGAAGCATTCTGGCCCACCCTTGGATTTGATTGGTGAAGTCCCCGATACATCAGTGTGTACATAGTTTAGTATATCCTTACTTGTATGAATTGCAGTTTTGAATCTAATCTTGCATTGTATACTAAAAACACAGTACTTACAAAAATCCAGTTTACAGGCTCTGATACCCTTCAACAATTTTCTTTTATGAAGTTCCATCATACCTTATTCGCTCATATTTCCTAAAGGCATATGCCACAGATTTGGGTCATCAGTGTTGGACTCAACATCTGTGGTTACAAAAGCTCTACCTGTAACTGTATTCCCTATCAACCTGTATAGGTTCCCAGTCATCTGACCTTTCATGACAACCATAGATCCCTTACTAACTTTGAAGACTCCACATATTGCTGTATACTTGCAACTATTCAAATCATGAGCCCCCAGAGAATTTAAGTTTTTCTTTAATTGTGGGACATGTCTCACATCTGCTAAGGTTCGTACTATCCCATAAAACGTCTTGATTTTGATAGTTCCTATTCCAATGGTCTTGCACACCGCATCGTTCCCCATTAGAACAGACCCACCACTATATGATTTGTAGGTTTCGAACCAGTTTCTATTTGGACACATTTGAAAAGAACAACCAGAATCTAAAATCCAAGAATTAGTAAATTGATTCTTACCTGAAGTTATAGAGAGAAGATCTTCATCATCTCTGTCAGAGCTATCGACCACACTAGCTTCATCAGATGTTTTTCCTAATTCTATCCTGTTCATATCCTCCTTTCTTTTCGGGCAGTCTCTCTTCATATGACATTCCTTTTTACAGTAATAGTAAATTTCCTCTTCGATTTTGACCGATTTCTACTTTCAGACTTCCTTTGATTTAATCTGCCCCTTTCATGACTCTCTTTGTGTTTTTCAAAGAAACCTTCTCCTTGATATTTAATACTGCTAGTCTTCTTCCTTATCTCGTTTGACATAAGAGTAGCAGTGCCTTCGTCCGTCTCAAGAGACTCCTTCCCGTACAATAGAGTCGTAACCAGGTGATTGTATGATGCTAGAAGAAGCCAACAGAAGCAGGGTCTTGTCTTCATTCTTGATTTTGACCTCAAGGCTTGCTAACTGGCTTATGATCTGGTTGAACTCGCTGAGATTTTCAAGCAGATCTTTGCCTTCTTCCATCTGAAGAGAATACAACTGCTTCTTCAAGAACAATTTATTCGTCAAAGATTTCATTATGTAGATACTGTCGAGTTTTGTCCAAACGTTCGGAGCAGTTTCGAGATCCGCCACATAACGTAAGGTATCATCTGAGAGATTCAGACGAATCGCACTTACTGTCTTTTCTTCTATCTCTTACTACTATTCATCGTCCATCTTTGCAAGTTTCTTCAATTTCCCTAGCAAAGCCTTAGCCAGACCTTGCTATATCAAAAGATCCTTCATCCTTCGTCACCAAAGGGTGAAATTGTTCTTTCCATTGAACCTCTCAATGTCATATTTGACGTTTGACCCCTTTCTTTTCATTGTGGTAGCAAACCCCAAAACACGGAATAACCTTGTAGGCTCTGATACCAATTTGTAGAAACGAAAAGCAATCCATGAAAAACAAGAAAGAAGAAACAAACACAAAAGAAAGAGACAATCAACCACAACGTAAAGATATACATGGTTCGGCAACGTGCCTACGTCCACGGGAGATTAGAGCTTCTTTACTGGCAATGGAGAATAGGGTTACAATACTCTCTCTTCCTCACGCCTCTCTGTTTTTTTTTTTTAATTACAAAGAGATCTGCGTTTTTCTCTTAACCCTAAACTTTTGTAGGAGCCCCCAATCGTAACGATATATATCGAGTCCCAGATAGATGGTACAAATTACCAAAATACTCTTGGACATATATATATATATATATATATATATATCAAGTCCCAGATATATCGAATCCCATGTATAGATATATCCGAATCTTAGCAGATATATTTCCTCAGAATACAAGACATCAATCCTCAACATTGCGACCCTCTGGCATAATGTTGCAAGTTAGTTTCTTAGTATTTAATCTTGAATAGACAACTTAGAGTATTTTATTTTTTAGTTTTACTCTTATGGATCATCTGCATGTATTGTTCTTGTGAAGGACTCCTTTCTTTAATTATTAAGAAGTCTATTTTCATATGTGCAGACATCAGCTGTTAAGGTGAGCGATGTCCAATTCATAGGGGTGCATGGAACATGTAAGAGTGAGGTGGCCGTCTCAATAGCATGCAGTGAGAGCATTGCTTGCACAAACATAGTGGTAAATGGCCTTGAAATAAGATCTAGTGAGCCCCAAGTTGCTATCACCACATATTGCCTCAATGCTCATGGAACTGCTCAGGGTAAATGTAATCTACCTGTTCCTTGCTTACACACAAAAAATATTGTTGGCCGCATAGGGAGTAAGAGATAAGAGAGTTGATTTTGGTGCAGATTACATTGCTCTTTATTTTGTTTGTAAAAGGATTGTGTAGCCCCATTATTGAGAGGCCTTTTCATGAATAAAGATAATTGATTGTGTTAGTTCTTTATCGTTGGTCGGTTGGTTTGCTGCAAGGTCTTAAAAATCACCGATTCGGATCGAAATCGTTCGATCTTTAAACACTTTTGATGTGGGACTAAACATCCCCTCGTTTGTAATGTCTCACAATAAAGCGCCTCTTTCAAGTTTTTTTCCTTTTTTTTTTTGAACTTCTCCTTCTTCAACCACGAAAACCCGAAAACCCAATTTAAACTATATGGTCTCTAATTAATAATGATTAAAAAAGTGAAAGTAGAGACCACGTAAGATTCTTTCAACGCTTTCTTTGAATATACACATAAAAGAGAAACCTTTAGGACCTTTGTTTTTTTTTTTTATTCATAACTACAACTTCATGAAATTGAAATAAATTATCTTGTGATCTATTAGGAAAATATATTTAATTAGTTGTATACTATGCGTATCTTTCTGTCACCCTCCCTCATAAAACAATCTCTCTCTCTATACGAAACGCCTCTC